TGTCATAGTTGATTGCTTCTTTTCTCCTTTCTCCCTTCCCATTATATCTTTCCCCTTGGAGAGAGCACCCTTCAATTTCTCCACCTAACAGTACAAGTTCTCCATCGTTGAGCAGCATGAGGTGTCAAGTTAAGTGGTAGTAACTGGTTTCAGTGGCTTGCATTCAGTGGATTAGCAAACAACTGTTGGAACTCACTCAGTTAGGCCCCAAACCAAAATGCGAGACCACTCGAATATTAGGGCTCCTGTCTTTACTCTAATCTCCACACATATGCAGTTAGAACATTTTGGAATCTTGCAAACTTCTGGGGGCGGTTTCAGGATTACACTAGGAGAAAACAAAACAACAGTGTGCATAAACCTGTGAATGCTCAGTGCATCACTGTAATTGATAGGAATTGTACTTGTTCAAAGTAGCAGCCAGACAACTACCTCCCTCCCCTCCAACTCAGATAGATTATCTCCCCCCATCCATCTCAGTTAGGCTATCAGTGTTTAACAGTCAGGTTTTTAATAGTCCCAATGTGTGTGTGCAGCCTAGCTCAGTTGGTAATAGTATTATTGCTTCTGGATCAGATTATTGAGGTTCAAGACCCACGTCCTGGACTTGGAGCTCATCTCATTGATTCTCCATTGTGTTTCTGAGGGAGAGTTGTATTGTTGGAGGTCTTTGTCCTTTGGATGAGATGGTAAACCAAGATCCCATCTACCTGTTCTGAAGAATGTTAAAGATCCCATGGCACTATTCAAAAAGAGAAGGGAGTGTGTCCTGGGCAATAATCCTACAGATAAAATTAATCGTTTACTTTGTGGCTATTCGTGGGACATTGCTGTGTGAAAATTAGTTGCTGTTTTTGCCAACAAATGCACAGTTATTTCATGTTACAGCAAATCCCTGAGAAACATTTTGACAATGTCAATGCTTTATCAAATGCAATGATTATTATTATTATTATTATGTATTTATTGTAGACTTTCTGTCCTGAGTTGCAGGCAGGACTAAACCTTAGAAATGGCTGAATGAGTCAGTTGATATGTGTTGCACGGGCTTATACATCAATATTACTGTTGAAAGCTCTTGGCAGTTGACTTGAAATTATTATTTGTGTCAGCGCTTCCATTTGCAGCTGTGAACTTAATAAAAAGAGCTTGTCAAATCAAAACGATGTTGTCAAAGGCCAATGCTGAAGCAAGCTACTTAATCACACCTTCCCCGCATGCTGCACGGAAATGGAGAATAACAATGAAGAAGAATGCTTGAGCAGACAAATTCTGAAATTGAGCTGCCGAGGACTTAGCTGTCCTACGTTCTACTCTTTTATCAAGAGGCTTATTACCCTATTTAGCCTTTATTTACTCTTTAGTCTGTTGCTGAAATCTATCCATTTTGCAATGTTTCAAGGGGACTAATTTGATAGCTTCAAAATATTGGTTAAACTCCAGCAATAACCCAATGCACACTCTCTTGTCCCAAACCTTGGGTCTTGTCAATGTTGCTTAAACACTCTAGGATTAGGTAAATAATCCCGATATGCACTCCATAGCAGACAAATAGAAACCATAAGTCTATGGCTCACTAGATTTGGAACCCTAAAGCAGGATAATGGGTTACTGCATGTCACACATATGGCTGACCCTCAAAAAAAAAGCTTCAAAATAAGGGTGACAGACAAGAGCAAATAGAAATGGAGGAAAAAATGGAGGAGGGTGATGTGCATGTGTAACAAATCAAGAGCTCAGGTACAAGGACAAGGAACTATGGGCTGCAATATGTAAAATTTCTTAATCAATTTAATATGATAATTATCACCATTGATAATTAAAGGGAAATAATAATAATAATTAATAATAATGCTTACATTTGGTATAACAACTTTCACATTTGGGCTGTAAAGTGTAAAGACTGTGTTTTGTGGGTGAAAATGGCAGCCAATTTGCACACAGCAATGTCCCACAAACATCCAAAGTGACAGACCAATTTGGGGATTGTTGGACAGGACACCGATAAACCATTTGATAGTTATTATCCAGTGATGAATATCACATTGTTATGAAATATTTAATATTTAAATTCTTTAAAAGGTGCCAGAAAAGAACTACGTAATTAGGTGGTAAAGAAAGTTATTAATTTAAACAGGTCTTGACTGTACCATTCCATGTCACAACTACACAGTTGTATTTATTTAACCCCTTTCAAATAGGTTGGGGAATAGGGCTAGAAGAGATTTCATACATATGGGAGCGGCCAGACCTTATAGGGATTTAAATGTAAAGCCTTGGATCTTAAAGTTAATCTGCTGCAGAACAAAGAGCTAATGGAGCTTGGCGAGGATGGGTGTATATAGCCAAATTTGGGAGAAAAAACCTCTGGATAATTATTGTTTGGCTTATTTCAGGCACAGTACAGTATTGTAACCCCCCACCCCCCACTCACCCTCTATCACAGCAGCACCTTGTTCATTGTTGGGTCTCTACATGCTGCAATACCTGTGATGTGTCTGGTGCGCACAGGTTGGAGGGTGAAGCACGAGTGAACATGATACAGACGTGGTGTGCGTACTTTTTCACATGATAACAGATTTTCCCTGATTAGATAAGGAATGATTCCTCCTCCCTGGAATGTGACCGGCATGCTGTCATTTCAACACAAAGCACGGCACTGTCAAAACTGTTTAAAAATAAGTTGGTTTTCCAGTTTCCAGTATTCTACTGCTGATATGAAAGAGATGGCAGTGTCTTGAAAGTTGAATTGTGAAGCTGCTACTGGTGGTGTTAGAACAAGTTTACTTAGATCCAGCCTCGCCTGTCTTGGCCCTTGGCTCACAGAGGCAGTGCTGATTATTAATAATAATAATCCTTGCATTCGATATAGTGCTTTTCACGTCTTCTAGATGTCTCAAAGCGCTTCACAGAATATACTGTAAAGTGAATTGATTATATTTGTGGGCAAAACATGGCAGCCAATTGCACACAGTCGTGGATTGAGTGACCAAATTATTATTGTTTTTTTTTAAGGACTTTTATCCCTGGGAAAGCAATTTGCCAATTGACGACCAACCGGTTCCTACTTACTGCTAGGCAAACAGAGGCGTGTGGAGTAAGGAAACTTGCCCAACATTTCGCCCTTCAGATCAAATCTACCTTTTTTTGTGTGTTAAGCTTGATTCCTGGAAGCAGGTGCACAGTGTGCTGCCCCTATGCTGAAGGAACGGGCAGGGCAGGATCACTTCTGTTGTTGCATTGATTCAGTCATAGATTGAATGTCAGGGCGGGACAGAGCCATTCAGAGGTTAAGTGGGGCTTGTTGGGAGATGTGCAGAATTAATTTGAAGAACTGTAAGCGGAGCACTGCACTGCAGTCTTCCTCTTCATCTGTACTATAATAATCATCATAATAATAATCCTTGCATTTGGTACAGAGCCTTTATCATTAGGAGAATTTACTGTAAAGTAGATTGACTCTGTATTTTATGGACGAACTATATTTGACTCAGCGTTATTTTTCAAAGGGAGCAGTCGGGTAATATTCTCAGACAGGCACATTTTCCATTGATGTTGCCACATTTGAAAGTCTATATGTGTGTGTGTGTGTGTGTGTGTGAGACAGATCCAGCAAAATAATTTGGACCCAGAATGGGATCTGAGTTGGGGTTGGGAATTGGATCTATTTTAAAATAGGGGTCAGAGTATGTGTGTGTGTATGTTGGGGAGGGGGTTGCAAGGTTCCGGGAACAAAGCAAGAAGGGCAGAACCTGCACTGTGTTATAAAAGAGTTGTGCCTGGGAAACAGGAAATGAGTTCAGGGTAAAAAGTCCTGGTATGTTTTTGTACTGAAAGCTGGAGAAAGCTAAAAGAATTACAGTGACACCCACTGCCACCGTCCCAACCAATTCAAATATTCAGCAGCATTTTAAAGCAAATACTGTCAGATAAAGTAGAATTTAATCCTTAAATCCTAGAGAATCTAGTGAAGAGAAATGCAGACATTCCATTTATTTGTACAGAAAATTGATCCAAATTTTCATAAATTGTTGGTGAAATCACAGTAGAAAGGAAAATACAAAGAAATATATTTTTATGGCACTTTATTACGTCAAAACATCTCAGTGTGCTTTACAGTAATTATTGTCAAGTGTAGTGCCTGTTTTTCTAGGCAAGCATTCTGCGCATAGCAAGGTCCCACGAACAGCATTGAGATGAATCACCAATTCTCTTTGCAGTAAATTCTGTGAAGACCCGCGAGGATGGCATTGGAATAGTCCAGTCGGGAAGTGGCAAAGGTGTGGAGAAGGGTTTCAGCTGTTTTGGTTGTGAGATACGGACGAAGGCGGCCAATGTGACGAGGTGGAAAAAAGCAGTCCTGGTCAGGGAATGGATGTGAGGTAGAAAGGAAAGTTGGCGATTGAACCTGACGCTTAAGTTGCGCAAAGGTTTGTGAGTTCTGATGGAGAGCACGGGGAGGTTGAGAAGTTCAGACCCGCAGGAGAGAAGACGTTGATGGGAGACAATGGATTCCGTCTTGCCAACATTTAGCTGCAGGAAATTTGTACTTATCCAGGCCTTGATATTTGTCAAACAAGCTGACAGGACATCAGTGGACTGGGTGTTGCAGCTGGAGGAGGAGAAGTAGATTTGGGTGTCATCCACATATATCTCGAAGTTGACCCTATGTCTGTGGATGGAGAGGTGTAAGCAAAGTTGATTTGCGTTCCAAAACTTTGGCCAGGATAGGCAGGTCTGAAATGAGTCTGAAATTTGTTGGAGGGATCGAGGGTAGTTTTTTTAAAAAAAGAGTGATGACAGGGGATTTGAGGGGGTGTGGGACAGAGCCTAAGGAGAGGAACTGGTTGATTTTGTCAGCCAGCAGTGGGCAGAGGAGGGGTAGGTGAGTGACCAGCAGCTGGTGGGGAGGGGGTCGAGGCAGCAGATGGTGGGCTTCAGCTAGGTGATGGTGGGGGAAAGGGAGGACGGAGAGGTGGGGGCAAAGGAGTGTAGGAGGAGAGGGTGATGAAGGAGACATGGGGGTTGGTAGGCAGCATGGGTGTGGGGGAGGAAGGGGAGGAAACCTGGCATGTTATCTATCTTAGAAATAAAGATGTCCAGGTCCTCATCGCACTTGGTATCAGAAGCGAGGATCAAGGGTGCTTGAGAGGGGGTGTGGAGGAGAACACGATTTTGGGGTTGTTTTTGACCTTGAGAATGACCTGTAAGTAAAAAGCAGTTTAGGTTTGAGAGAGGGAGCAGTGGTAGGTATGAAGATGCTCGAACCACAGTTGGCGGTGAACCGCGAGGCTGGTTTTGGGCCATCTGCGCTTGAGCAACTGGGTTTGGAATTCGAGGGAGGGAAGGTGACTGTTAAACCCAGGGAAGAGAGTAAGCTTGCAGATGGACCTGGCTTTCAGAGGGTCAAGTGAATTGAAGGTTGAGGAGAGGTAATTGTTTAGCAGCTTGATGGCTGCGCCTGGATTACTGTGGGTGGAAGGCCGAAGATGAGAAGATGTTTGCGGGAGATTCGGGGGAAGCTTTATCAATGGGTGGAAAAAGATGCTGGAGGGCTTGGGGATGGGTGGGGTGGTGGCGGAGGTGCGTGGGCAGGGGAGGGGTGATGTGGGAGGTGAAGGTGAGGTTTAGAATGGAGAGGAGGGCAGCGAAGTCACAGGAGATGGGGCAGGGGGTAATTGAGATGAAGGTTGAAATCGCCCATTATGAGCCGGCGTTTTGTGTGGAGGGACAGGGATGAGAGGAGAGAGGAAAAATCCACGAGGAAGGAGCGATGAGGTTTGTGATAGGAGGATTTTGAAGGGTGGTAAAGGGTGAGGTGATCAAAAGAGAGGAAACAAACAGAGGAATAGGGGGATAGACCAAGAGAGGTTTGAGAGATGAGGGCCACCCTGCCACCACATTGGTTGGGGCGGGGTGTGTGGTGAGAAGTGTACCCAGGTGGGGAGGGATGGGGTCACTGGGCGGTAGCCAGATTTCTGTGAGTCCGAGAATGTATATTTTCATGTTTAGGATGAGGTTGTGGATTGTAAGAGCTTTATTTGAGAGGGAGCAGACATTTTTGAGGCCAATGTGAGTGGAGGCGGGCAGAGTTGTCGGGTGGTTTAGATTGTGGGGGGGAACGCTGCCGAGTATGAAGGGGGAGAGTGGGAAGGATGTGGATGAGAGAAGGGTGGGGGAGGTGGCCCTTGTGTACTAAGTGGGTGATGTGACAGTTGGAATGGCTGCTCTGGGACAACCATTGATGAGTGCCGTGGTTAACCCAGGCAGAGGTTGCCCAGGCCGGAGCAGAGGAAGGCTGTGGGAGGGTCCAGGAAGGAGAGAAGACGGGGAGGGTGGTAGGAGCGAAGGACTGAGTGGGAGTAAAGAAGGGTGGGGAGTAGGAGCGGGGGCATTTTGGGTGGGGGTGGCACGAGTCATGGGGGGCAGCCAAACGTGCACACCAAGACTGGGAGCAGAGTGATTAGAGGGACATCGTCAGCCCGCAGGCTGGAGAGGAGACAGCACAGAGGGGAGAGGGCTGGCACTCATGGCTATGTTTGAACCAAATGAGAGTGGAAGGAAGTGCAATTGAGTCTAGATTTCAACTGAAGGGTTCAGGAAGGGTTAGGAGGAGAGCGTTAGAGAGCTATGCACTTACAGAGTGGAAGTGGCACAATTGCTAAAGGAGCCTGGGCTAATAATGAATGAACGTTAATCTTCATTCAGCTCCTTTAACCTCCCAAACTTAACAAGTTTTCTGAACTAATTCTCCCCATGATGTAGTCAGCACTCAGCACTATTTCAACAAAATGTAGAATAAAAAAAACAAGAAAGACAGGATGCTAAAGTTGGTTATGAATCCTTGTAACCTATTTGATTCTGAAAGGGAGTCCAGATCATGACACTCAATGTTTAGAGTGAAACAGTAAGGATGAGCAACCCAGCTTGGGATGTTTGTTTCTGTTGGATTTGAAGCTGACCCTGGCCCAATCAAAGTTGAAGCCAGATTCAAATCACTGAAACAACTGAGCCAAAAGCAACACTAAAAGTGTAAAGCTCATTTGGCTCCATGTTTTAGGTCAGGTTGGGTGTTGAGAAGTGGTTCAGATTTTGAAATTGAAATTGAAGAAATTGAAAAGAGCTAACTTTATCCTGAACAGCCCAGACATGTTTACGTGTGCTTGCATCTTTGGCCGAATACCTTCCCTATCCATAGTAAATAGGTTTAACTTGAAATAAGCATTGGAATGACCAATAAAACAGATTATAGTGCATTGTCTAATGTAAATATCTGACCTCTATTTTAATGTGCCATTGTTTTGGAACTTCTGGAGTGGTTCTGTTCTGTTCTCTTCTCTGCTTTTCGCCTGCAGTGAAACTATAGTTAAAACATAAACAAAAGTTAACAACAACAACAACTTGGACTTGTGATCCTGTGCAGTTAAGCCACAGGATTACAAGTGAGGTGTAGATGAAGGAGGCCCTTCGGCTCATTCAACCGAGTCTTTCAGAATACTCACTCTACCATCTTCCCATCACAGTATCAAGCTGATTCGTAAATGAGCCTCATGTCATCAGCTGGACCACCCTTCCTGATTCCAGCTGTTGATTATCCTCTGTACAAAAAAAACCTTCATGTCTGTCCTAAAAAATTCCTTCACACCTCTGACTCTTACAACAACACCACCAACAACAAAATCACATTTATAGAGTGGCTTTCACGTCGGGAGGTCGTCCCAAAGTGCTGAACAGTCAGGTGTCGGGACTCGAACATGGGGGAGGGGTGGTGTAGGGGTGAGGGAAGGCAGAGAGGTGGGAGGGAGACCAAAGGCATGGTTGAAGAGAAGGGTCTTGAGACCAGTCTTGAAGGAGGCATGGGAGGAAGCGAGACAAAGGGACCGTGGGATGGAGTTCCAGAGTGTGGGGGCAGAGAAGCTGAAAGCCCGGCCACTGATGGTAGGGCGGGAGACATAGAGCAGACTGAAGCCCGTTGAACGGAGGGAGCCAGCAGGTCAGAGAGGTAAGAGGGGGCAAGGCCATGGATGGCCTTGAAAGTGAGGACGAGGATCTTGAACTTGATCCTCTGAATGTATTGTTCTTGGTTTGCTTCTCCATCCCATTTAGCATCTTCTATAAGGTCACTTCTTTCAAGGCTGAAGAGCCCTAGTTTATGTGGAAGCTGAAATGTTTGATAGCCGACAGATCCACAGAAATGTTTGAGTTTGGAGCTCTGCTTCCAGCGTTAACTGGGCCAATGCAAATTCACAGTGAGCGAACACAAAGGGATCCTATAAGTACTGAGTGTGATTACTAGTGAGTGATTGCTTTTTCAAGTCACTTTGCACTGCTAAAAGTACAGCATTTTTAGTACTCTGGACCTCAGAGATGACTTTATTTTGACTTCAGTCTTCCCATCTTGTTGAATTCAGAAAAATAAAGTAATTTTCACAGGCAACTTAACTTGGTTTACACACATCACATAAATCATCTAATATTAAACTGTTATCTTTGCAGATGGTGAGCATGAATTTTTGTGAAGATGAGAATCATTTGCTTTATCCTTTAATCTGTAAAAGCCATTCTGTACACATTAAGCACAGTTCATTGAGAAAAGGATAGTCAGGGTAGTTAGTATTGTAACATGATGCCAAACTACATACAGTTATCTTGTGATGTACACCAGCTTGTGCAGAAAAATAACTTGTAATACTGCCAGAGCTGTCATCTGAACCATTACATCTTGAAGTGAATTGAAGAAGGAGAGGGAGCTTATGGTGGAGTTGTGCTTGTACAGTTTACAAGACAAAATGGCAGTGATTCTTAACATTGTTATTTTAGGGTTGGTTAAATTGTTACCATTTTGACTTGTGTACCACTTTACATTTTCCCTTCTATGTTTGCCAGCGCCTTGGACGTCCTTCCGACGTGATTGTGTAATGTAATTTTGTTGGTTGTTGTTGTTCTATGAAATGCCTCAGCATCATAACTAAAGGTCACATTAGAAAATGTTATACAGAGAAAAAGACTTGCATTTTATCACACCCTATCTCTTTGAATTAGTGAGAGAACTGCAGTGCAATGATTGCTTTAGTAGGCAGTTGTGACAGCTATTTGCACCAGCAAGGTCCCACAAACAGTCATAAGGTAAATGACTAATTAATCTGGAGAATTGATAGCCAGAACCCTGGACAAACACGTTTATTAGAGTGTCGTGGAATCCTGAACAGAAGATAAAACTTCAGGTGAAGGTCTCATTGAAAGATATCACCTCTGAAACCCAGTGCTCCCCAGTTCAGCACAATATACCAGGCTAGAGTTTGAGCTCAGGAACTGATGTAGGGGTTGAACTCACAACCTTTTGGCCCAGAGACAAGAGAGCTATTAACTGAACCAAACTGACGCACATAGTATGAGGCTATAAGATTAAGTGAGCTGCAACAGTCTTTCATCAAAGCTGAAGAAAGTCTGGAACTCACTTTTAGTGGTGAGATGCACTGTTTATTTTTGGGATACATGGCTCCTGCTAGAAACCTAAGTGAACCATTATGCTTGTTCTGCCAACTGTTAAAGTGTTATTTCACACATGTAAATTATCATTTGGGATTCTCATTCACGGGAAGTATAATCTTGTGGCCAATGAAATTACTATTCATGCACATCAAATATACACATGATTCTTGGAAGCTTTGTCTTTATCACATGTTTGGAGAATACTCAGTGGTGAATGCAGTCACCCATATGGCCTTGTACTTCTTTCCAAAGATAATGTTCAGAACATTAAAGTCTGCATCATTTTCTCCGCTCTTCATCTATTTTGTTTCGAAATGCCTTTGCCTCAGGTGCAAGACTCATGATGTTTCCCCACAGGCCAAACATCAAAGGTTGTTTAGTGTCTGGAATGGAACTCAAAACTGGGACACAAACCTTGCCTAATTTCAGAGTCATGGATTCATGTTTGTTGAAATAGGTAGTTCTATTTCCATACTGTAAAACATCATGAGGTACAGAACATTACTTGGAATATCATTTTTCTAAAACAGTACACCCAAAAGTAAAATATTTTGTATGACAAATAGTACATTTATATGACTTTTTAAAAACAAATCAGCCTATAATGCACTTTTTCTGTTCAGTACTTTGTTGTACTCTTGAACAGTAATGGCATTTGCAAAAAATGTAATTGCTTGGATCTGAACAAACCTTTCCACCTCTGGTCTAACTGAGGCTTTCAGAGAGGCGACCAATGGTATATTCTAATATGGTTTTTAGAGACACTTTTACAAAATATTTGGGGCAATAATAATAACTCCTTTCACATTGGGACTGTTCGCAAGGATGGGCAACATCCAGCTCATTAGGTCACCGCCAACATCACTTCCTGCTTTTCTGTGAACGTGAAAAGCAGGAACTGACTCTGCGACTTAATGATCCAGAAGTCGTCCATTTTATCTTCCTGTAGAAAAAAATGGCTGACTTCAGGATTATCAAGTTGCTGGTGACATGACAGTAAAACAGGAAATAACATTGGTGGTGGCCTAATGACCAGGAAGTTGGTCATTTTAGCAGTCCAGTTGCATACATGTGCATTGCAACCTCATTATAATCAAATGTGCACTATAAAGAAACCACGTTGTAACAGGGCTGGCTGCAGTGTATCCATTTGTCTTACTTTAAACATTCAAAACATTGCTATTTCTGAGAATTGAAGTCAGTACCTTCAGATCATGAGACTGCTTACTCCACTAAGAAAGGGGAGCAAGTACTACTTCCACCTTATATTGAGTGGCATTTGCTGAAGCTACGATTACTATCTTTTTACCACTTACATGATCTCCACAAGTCAAGCCTTTCAAGGTGATGGGTGCTAGCATCCTGACACACCCATCGATCCACCCTCATTTTTAATCCCTCTGTATCAATGTCTTCCTTGATACATTATGAAAGGCATGAGAAGTCTTGTCTAGGAATAAGCTTATTATATAATTTGTTTGCTTATGAATGGGAACAAAATGTAGGCCCGAGTTCAAAGAAAAGAAAATGACTGTAATAACATATTTTGTGTTCAAGAGGTATTTAAACCAATGCTTGGATTTAGTGTACTCAGCAGTTTTGAATTGTCTTTTAATCTGGTATGCAGCAGGCAGACAGGTGACTTGCTCCTTGGCTTTAGGGAATGCTGCTGTGTAATTGATTGCACGGAGCTTGCCATACGAAACCGAGGTGACTCTCCCTTGTATTTTCTCACCCTTTCTATGGGAAGGTCCAGGTTAGTGCTTAATGACTCTCCTTGATTGTTTTGATAATAATAATTATAATAATTCTTACATTTCATACAGTGACTTTCACATCAAGTGTCAAAGGATTTCACAGGATATACTGTAAACTGTAGTGACTCGTGTTTTGTAGGCAAACACGACAGCCAATTTTGCTTGCAGTAAAATCCCACAAGCCACCATGAAGGGAGTGAAGTGTGTGACCCGCTCTTGCCAACGTTGTGCCAACCTGTCTAATATTTTCAGTAAGTAGGTATGCTTAGGGGAGAGAGTGCTCATTCCAGACATACGGGGATCTCCATGTGTAAGTGGCATACATGGAACTCTCAGTCTGGTTTGGATATTCTTAAGAGTGTCTGCATGTGTCAGACACCTGGCTGCCCCCCGCCCCCCCAAAATGTAGTTTGATGGGTAAGGGATAAGAAGATGAATGAACAACACGTGGAGCAATGGATGAGTCAGTGATATTAAGTCTAAACAGGCAGATTCTCATATCTTAAATTTGAGAATAAAGAAGTCCCGGAGAGGCTGTAGCTTTTCAATTAAAAATACCAGTGATGGTGCTGACATCTGTATCCTGAAACATCTGTAAAGCCCAACATTGGATGGAAATGATGGTGAGCTAAGTAACAAAGCACAGAACTTTCAGTGAATAAATAGCTCTATTAGGGCAGCTGTGTTAAATCTCCCAGGGCGTTCCTTGAAGGCCCTGGCAGATTTCTTACGATTGAAAAAGTATGTCCAAAATAAACCAAACGTGACAGGAATATCATGAAATGAAACAGATACTTGGGGTAAAATGAACTCATTAAGAATTGGGAATATGTTAACTTATCCTCCAGGGGAAAGAAGTTAGTGTTGCAAGTACCAGTGTGACTGAGTAAGTTTGATGAGTAAGGTGCCATATTAGATTGAGTTCACAGTGATGCATGGACTCTATGGCTCAACAGTTTATTCTCTTCCTCTATTACATTCTTACATTTGTGTGTCAACCTGGCTCAGTTGACAGCATTCTTGCTTTTGAGTCAGAAAGTTGTGGGTTCTAGTTCCACATCATCACCTTGACCTTATATAGTCTAAGTTGACATTTTAATACATTACAGGG